CCGCCTTGGGGACCCAGGTGTCGTGAGGTCGCTCATTACCTCCGCGGCCCGAGGGCAGAGCGCGGGACCCCGGGACTGTAGCGCGCGCGTCCAGCCGCCAGCGTTGCTGGAGTTTCGAGCGCGGGTCGAGGTGGCCCGGGCGTCGCCCCGGCTGGCGGCCGAGCCGGGGTCAGAGTGGACCAGCTGCGCGGCCCCCAAGGCACGGGTGGGACATTAAGGCCGAGTTTGAATAGGGCGGCGGCGCTGGGCGCTGGGAACGCCACCAGATGACACGCGGGCGGCGGGGCCATTTTCTCCTTAATTGCGAAGCCGGTGGGTGCGCAGCGGCCGGGACGCGGCCCGGGCGCCGCTGGTGGGTTCTGCGGTGCCTTTTGTGGTGGTGGTTGTGTTTGAAGCCCTGCGTTGGAAGCGGCTCAATGCAAGTATTCAGAGTCCCTCTGAAGTTGCCTTTTAACCGGAGTTCCCCAACTTCGTTCTTGGTTCTTTCGGTTGAGGGGATGCAAAGAAAAGTCGGCGAGCGTGTTGCTGAATCGCAATGGCTCGGGGCACCTCCACATTCAGCGCCTCCCGGACGCCGCTGCCCAATGCGCCCGCACTCAATTCGATTTTCCTTGCTGTTGGGCACATTTAGGAGCGCCTCTATTTGTGAAGTTCATTTCTAGGCAAATGTATTCAAGAGCTGATGGGAATGAATAGGACCGTGTGTCAGCCGCCCCTAATTGGGATTAAAGCACTTAGGAGCATATGCAGACAGTGACAGAAATTCTCAGGTCGCATTGTGTTCAGACTTCCACCCGCTCGGACACTCCTCCTCCCAGGGAGATTTATAAAGATTGCAGGGAGAAACTGAGGAAAGAAAGACGAAACGGAAAAGAGCGGCCTAATGGGGCCGTGGTTGGGCAAGTGGTGGTGACAGCGTCGGAGAAAGGCTGCTGGGGATAATTAAGTGCGGGAGGGGGAGCAGGGCTGAACTCTTTAATCAGAAAGGAGGGGAGTTAAAAGGCGAAATAAAGATGTTCTTGAGATTCCCAGACGGTCCCCCCCACCCCGCCCCCTTTTCTTTCTTTTTCTTTCCCTTGCAGAACTTACCAAAGAACATACCTTCACTTGGGGGTAATAATAACAACTTGGTTTTTGATTTGGGGAGCAAAAGTCACAAAGGGAAAAGGAAAAAGTAGCTTGCATTAATTTTTCGCCAAAAAAAAATAAGTCAGGGGAGATCTTTTCTTATGTGTGAATGTGCATGGGGTTAAAACACAAGCAGAGTGCTAAGTGTTCACTTCTATTCAGACTACATACAAGGGGCTTCAAAAAGGCCATGGATTTTTTTTAAAAGGCCATGGAAAAGTAGAATTACAGGATAATGGACTTTTTTGGCCACCGCCATCCCCTCACACACCCCTCCCCACACACTCGTAGACATATAGCCTGCTTGTAAATCTCCACCTACAAGGGACACGGCCTTTCAAAAACTAAAAGGCACCCTGGAGCTGAGACTGGGACCACTTTCTAAGCAGAGAGCAGTTCTGCCTCCTTCAGCCCCTGAGGAGCAAAGAAAGGACGGATGAACACTAAACAAGAGAGGAGAGCTAGACTTTTCAATATACACGTTTAATTGGGGGAGTCAAAAAGCGATAAGTACAAGAATGGAGGCTAAAAGTAGATTAATAAAGACAGCTGGACGCCTCATTTGTGCCTTTGCTCAGACCCACCAGGGACAGGTGTCTGTAGGCACCTGAGCTTCTCAGCATGCCCCATTTGGCTGTACCTTCTGAGATTTGGAATCCTAAGAATATATTTCCAGTTCAATGTATT